CAGTGCTGTTGTAACTTCGGTCGCTGTAAGTTGAGGACTACCTGTATTTGAAAAAAAGGCTGTTGTGGTTTACCCTTTTCAGCTCATGGCAGCTAAAACCACTTTTGTTATTTTTGGAGTCTGCTCTTTGGGGGAACACGGGAAATTTGCTGGAGATGGGTAGAGTTAATGATGGGGAGGGGGCTCCAAAGTGGATTGGGTTCCCCATTGTTCCTCTTCCCTTTCTGTTCCAGTTAAGATCCCCCAATTTAGGGAATAAATTGCAAAGGAGTACTTGGAATAGCCATGCCTATCGTTCATTCATTCATGAAAATGTGTATGGCCACCCAATTCATTCTCAGTGATTCTGGGCAAGGATAAAGTATATTGTTCTTTGTGCTGTTTCTTTGGAGCTACTCAAGGAGCATCCAAGTGAAGGGCAAAAAAAGTCAAGGTGGTAGACGTGCCTTCGTCATCTCCCTCTGCAGAAGCCGCAGAGCTATTCCACAGCGCCTTTAAAAGAAAAAAAATAGTTCCCAGCGAGGAAAGCTGTCCAGACATTTGAGCCTTATCTATGTCAAACGGCCTCCTAAAGGATTTTATCAAATGGTTAAACTTTTTCTGGACTGATTTGCTTAATGACAGAACGATTCACTTAACAACTGCAGTGATTTGCTTAACCATGGAGAGAGGGTCCCACTGCTTTGCTTAACAAAAGAAGTTCTGGTCTCAATCTAACAGATTAACAGAGTTGGGAGGGGCCTTGTAGGTCATCTAGTCCAACCCACCCCCTTTGCCCAAGCAGGAGACCCTATACCTGTGATGGCGAACCTGTGGCGCGTGTGCCAGGGGTGGCACACATCTCTGTGGGCACATGAGCCGTCACCCCAGCTCAGCTCCGCCGCGTATGCATGCAGGCCTCCCACCAGCCAGCTAGTCTTTGGGTCTTGTCCACACAGGCACTGGGGGAGCGCATGCCCAGGGGATGTGCGGAGGGCAGGGCACATGCGCGGGGGATGTGCGTGTATTGCATTTTGGGGATGCGTGCATGCCCACACGCTTTGGGCCCTCGATGCTGAAAAGGTTAGCCATCACTGCCCTAGACCTACACTATACCATTAAGGTTGTAAATGAAGGATGACCTGTACTGGGAATCTGAAGGCCTGGCAAGATTTCTTCCGTGGCTTGTTTTTCTCCTTCTTGCAAACACCCGAGTCAGGAACGGTGATTTCAGGTTCCCATAATGACCTGGGAACATTCAATGCTTCTGTTCCCAGAGCTTTGTGGGATCCAGGGCGATGAGTCTCTGCATTCTGTTGGCCTGCATTGACCCCCCCTTTTTTTTCTCCCCCCTTTTTTTCAGCCAGTGGTGAAGCTCCTTTATAACCGAAGTAACAACAAATACTCCTACACAAGGTAAACACCTCCCTTCTCTGGGCTAACGCTGAAACTTAAAAGACAAAAGTTTGGAACTCTGCGAAGGTCGGATTCACCCTCCTGTTTCTGCGATGATCCACCAGTTGAATCTAGGAAGACACCCCCCCCCACTCCCAAGCAGACATAAAAGCTTTGCAACACTGTACAGGTAGTCCTCGGCTTACAACAGTTCACTTAGTGACTGTTCAAAGTCACAACGGCGATATCAGTGTTCCGAGTAATGCACCCATAGAAAGCAGAACTCTGAGGCAGGCAAATTCCTCAAAGAAGAATTTATTGGATGCGGCATATTGGCACAATTGGTGAAAGCCGACTCTGAATGTTCCCACGGCTTTCACCTAATGAAAAAGTAAATGTTTCCCCTTTCTCCCAAGTCACTGATTACGCTGTCCAATCAAGGTGCTGCCCGGTTGCTTGGTTACTTCACTCCTCCCCTGGCCAGCTACCTATAGGTTAGAGGATGCATTGCACTGCACTGCACTGCACTGCACTGCACTACACTACACTACATTACATTACATTACATTACATTACATTACATTACATTAAAAGTAATCCTCATATATGATCGGTCACTTAGCAACTGTTCAAAGTTACAATGGACCTAAGAAAAGTACTTATGACTTGGTTCTGAACATCCCCGCATTTTGGGCTCTCGGCAACCAACCCACATTTACTGCCATTCGCAGCGTCCCTCGGTCACATGACCATGATCTATGACGTTTTTTTACTAGAGTTTGGCATTTACTTCCAGTTTTGAGCAAAACCTACCCACAGTGAACAATGAGTTCGCATAACAACCATGCCGGTGGTTTAACAACTGCCGCAACAAGGGTTGTAAAATTAGGTGTGGTCACATGGTTATAAATAGCACAACTTAACCATAATTACAGGCTTAATTAGTCATAAGTTGAGGGCAACCTGTTACATGCATTAAATGTAACATGTATTGCAGATAGGTATAATTTACAATATAAAATGTAACGTGTACATTTTAAAAGTAAAAGAAAGTTTGCATTTTGTAGTTATGTATTGAAACAAGGCAAAAGGATGTCTTGGAGAGAATAGGAATTGATCCGATTCAAAGCCACCTTAGAAATCAGTCATTAAACTGAAAAATTCTATTACTGTAGCAAAGCAATTGTACTCTGAGTCTTCAGTCAGAGCTTGGCAAATTAATCCTAGGCACAAACCCTAGAAAAGACGCTTTAAGATCTATTCAAGCTTTCAAAACAGCAGTCAAGATTATTTTGCCACTGACTTAACATTTAATTGCATTTCTGCGTCTTATCTATCTTTACATGACAATTCTCTGGTCAAAGTACAAGGTAAAAAGATATTAATTATAGTAGCAGCAGTAAAAATGAAGTCACTGCTGTTTAAAGTAAACAACAAGATTGCTGCATTAGCGATGAAAAATCAGAGCTAAGGATTAACAGGTATTTGGACACAAATTCACCTGGTTTGTAATCCATCTGTGATGGGGGCCAGGATGTCAAGCTAGTTACCTTGAACAAAAACCAGGTACCGTGGGACTGAATTCCAAAGTAGCCCTCGACCTATGATTTGAGTATATGTGTGTATGTGTGCGTGTGCGTGTATATATATTTGAGTGTATATATGTGTGTATATATGTATGTGTATGTGTGTGTATATACATTTATTTATTTGATTTGTCACAAGATAATAGGTATAAACATGAGTAAGAATACAGGAAATAAATACGAATAAATGGGGACAATACTACAGGGACGGGAGGCATGATGGTGCACTTATGCACGCCCCTTACAGACCTCTTAGGAATGGGGTGAGGTCAATAGTAATTAGTTTGAGGTTAAAGGAGTGGGGGTTAGAGGATACATATACATACACACATACATATATATACATACATAAAATACATTAAAAGTAATCCTCGTATATGATCGGTCACTTAGCAACTGTTCCAAGTTACAGTGGACCTAAGTAAAGTACTCATGACTTGGTTCTGAACATCTCCGCATTTCGGGCTCTCGGCAACCAACCCACATATACTGCCATTTGCAGCATGACCATGATCTATGACTCTTTCTCACAATACACACTCCCCCAAATCTTTTTTTCCCCCCTCCCCTTTTGGATTAGGAATACGTTTAGTAATAAAACCCCTGCCATTTTTATTTTCCAGGAAAGAAAATGGAGCCAGAGGCTGGAGTTCTTTTATGCCAACCTCTGAGTAGATCCTTTTAGTTTATCTACAGGTAGTCCTCAACTTACGACTAACAAATAAGTCCTACATTTCCGATGCTAAGCAAGAGAGTTAAGTGAGGTTTGGCCCATTTTAGTCTGTCCTTTTCTGCTGAATGCCAGAGTGGTGGTGCCAGTAGAACCAGAGGCCCAGCTCAATCCTGGACCAGGTGAGAGCATCCTGCCCTTTGGAACCCTTAGCATGTGAAAACCTCTGTACAGGTAGTCCTTGACTTACAGCCATTCATTTAGTGACCTGTTCAAAGTTCAACAGCACCCCCAAAAAAGTGACTTATGGCCCTTTTTCATACTTACGGCTTGTCACATCCCCATGGTCACATGATCAACACTCAGATGCTTGACAGCTGGTCCCTATTTATGATGGTTGCTGGGTCCTAGGGTCATGTGATCAAAATTCAAGCGCTTGCCAATTGGTTCATGGTTATGACCATTGCTGTGTCCCAGAACCAAGTGATCCCCTTTTTTTGCGACCTTCTGACAAGCAAAGTCAGTGGGGAAACCAGATTCGCTTCACAACTGCTTCGCTAACTGTTCCACAACTGCAGGGATTCTCTTAACAACCGTGGAAAGAAAGGTCGTAAAATGGAGGGGCAGGGAGGCCTCAAACTGTCTCGTTTAGCAACAATAAATTTTGGGCTCTATTCTGGTCGTAAGTCAAGGACTACCTCTATCTCCAGATGCCTCTGCTTGCACAAGGGAGCCGCTGGATCTAGGGAGGCTCCACACATCCCTCGACACGATGGTTTTTTGGTGCCGGAGGAGAGCGGAGATACGGAATCCTTCTGGCCTCCCAATGGCCCAGAATCGCTTTCGATGGCGAGTTGAGCGGTGTACAAATTTAATAAATAAAATCAGTGCTGCTATTTATTTTTTTTTGCCACCCCCGCCCCCTCCAGCAACTCCGACGACAATCTCCTGAAGAACATCGAACTCTTTGACAAGCTCTCGCTCCGATTCAACAAGAGGGTTCTTTTCATCAAGGACGTCATCGGGGACGAGATCTGCTGTTGGAGTTTCTTCGGCCAGGGGCGGAAGCTGGCTGAAGTCTGTTGCACCTCCATCGTTTACGCCACGGAAAAGAAGCAAACGAAGGTAATCGGCGATTCTGGGCCCTGGGATGGAGATCCGAGCTGAGCGGGGGAAGGGCTCAGGATTAATACCTGGGATACCTGCTGCTGTGGGTTGGTGAGGTGGCCTAGAAGTAGAGCACTCTCCTCACAGTCAGGAGGCTGTGAGTTCGATCCTAGGTAGAGGCTGATGTTTCTCTCTCTGGGCACAATGAGACTCTATGTGCTGAACAAAATTCCGTATTGGTGAAAGGAAAGGCGTTCGGCCAGTAAAAACTCCAACTCTATTCAGTTACCCAGACTCCACCAAGCAAGGGATTAAGGGGTCATTCAAAGAAGAAGATGATACCTGCCATTGTGGGGATGGAGGGGACCTCAATCTCCCAGGTAGACTAGACAGAAAACATGACTAGGTGAGCTAATTTTACATTATTGTGAGGCTGTCTTAAAAGAGTCTTGCAAGTCTGAAAGTACAAGCCTCCCACCATCTCCTTTATAGCCTAAGAAATTAAAGAGGTTCCTTTCTGAGTTTCTTCTTCTGCCTGTTATGAAGCTGCAGGCTCCCTCCGTCCTTTATCTGATAGTTTCCTAGGCAGCCTTTCTTCCACACATATCCCAAGGTTGTTCTTGCACATCATTAAGGGAAGCATCTTGAGCCACAGTGGCGCAGCGGTTAGAGTGCAGTACTGCAGGCTGCTTCTGCTGCCTGCCGGCTGCCTGCAATTTGGCACTTCGAATCTCACAAGGCTCATGGTTGACTCAGCCTTCTGTCCTTCCAAGGTGGGTAAAATGAGGACCCGGATTGTTGGGGGCAATATGCTAACTCTGTAAACCACTTAGGGCTATGAAGCACTGTAAAGCGATATATAAGTCTTAAGTGCTACTGCTTGCTGTCAAAATGGCCGCTTCCCCTTTGTGAAATGGCTACCACGGCAAGCCAGTTAAAATAGCCATTTTGGAGTGGCGGGGCTGAAAATGAAATCACTGACCCTTAAGTCTTAGGACAGATTTTAATCTTACATCAGAGCCTGTATTTCAGTGTGCTTTTTACTGCTCCAGCATCCATGTCAGAGGAGGGGTGCTGAAAGGCGTTCTCTGAAATGGAGATGGTGATGGGATGTTTGGCAGCCGGCTAGCCTTTTGCTTGACTCAGTTGGAGGGGAATCCACCAGAAAATTTAACTTTTCTTAGAGTGGAGCAGTGGTGGGATTCAAAATGTTTTACTACCTTGGCTTGGTGGGCGTGGTGTGGCTTGGAGGGCGTGGCAGGGGAAGGATACTGCAAAATCCCCATTCCCTCCCCACCCCACTAACCTGCTTTCCAGCTCTGTTCTCCTGTGCAGGGCAACCGAAGAAGACCCAGCCGATCAGCTGGGACTCAGTGGGAGGCAGAGAGTAGATGGGGACGGGGCCAGTCAGAGGTGGGATTTGCCAGTTTTCTGAACTACTCAGAATTTCCGCTACCGGTACTCCAGAACTGGTCAGAACCTGCTGAATATCCACCTCTGGAGTGGATGCTTCAGAGAGCAGATCTTAAATCTAGATATTGGAGACAGTGTCCTGTCTGACTCACAAGACAGTTGCTATGGTACCTTCTCGGTTTATTCAAGGCCAAAATACAATAGCGTGCAAAGTAAAACAGAGTCTTAGATGCTTCCCTGAATGGAGTTGCTTTCAAATAGGAGCAAGGAGAATAGTCGGTTCAAAAGTTTGGGTCAGTCCAAGTTGTTGGCCCGTTCAGAGGTCAGAGGTTCAAGGATTCTTACGCCAACAGGCATGTCACACAAGATGTTGTTTGCAAGAAAGGGAAGAGAGCTGCTTCTTAAATCAGGCTGCAGGCAGCTCTTACCCATCAAGAAGTTAGACTCCTTTCCTTGACAGGTAGTAGCCCTAGTTGAATGATGTTACTCTGCTCTTCGTTCTACTTGCTGGGTGCTTGTCAGCCCGCCTGGTAAATCAGACAGGAAAATGGGACTAGTCCAGAGGTCTCCAACCTTGGCAACTTTTAAGCCAGGCGGACTTAAAGCTGACTGGAGAATTCTGGGAGTTGAAGTCCACCTGGCTTAAAAATTGCCAAGGTTGGAGACCTCTGGACTAGATCATGGGTGTCAAACTTGTGGCATCACATTGCCATCACATGACTTTTCACGGAGGTTTTCCCATTCGCAGAGCTGGGGTGGGCGTGGCCTAGGTTAGGATTAGGGTTAGTCCTTGATTTGCAACAGTTCATTTAGTGACTGTTCAAAGTTACAGCAGCACTGAAAAAAACAACTGACGACCGTTTTTCAAAGACACAACCTTTGCAGCATCCCCACAACCGTGTGATCAAAATTCACATGCCCGACAACTGGTTCATATTTATGACTGTTGCAGTGTCCCAGGGTCATGTGATCACTTTTTGTGACCTGACAGGAAAGGCAATGGGATAGCCAGATTCACTTAACAACCGAGTTAATAACATCAGCTGCAGTGATTCGCATAACAACTGTGGCAAGAAAGATCGTAAAATGGGACAAAACTCAATAAATGCCTCCCTGAACATCAGAAATGTTGGCCTCAATTGTGGTTGTAAGTTGAGGACTACCTGTACTTTTGAACCCTATCTTGGTGCCTGTTTTCTTTCGCCTGGCAAGCGGCCACTGTGGGGGGATCCTGATGGCTTTCAGGCCCTGATTCTCCTGAGATCTCGGGGTTACAGGTGACGGTCTGTGTGAGGGAGGTAAAATGGAACCGTTGTTCCGATTTCCAAAGCTGCATCTTCTTCTTCCTCCTCCAGGTCGAATTCCCTGAGGCCCGCATCTACGAGGAAACGCTTAACATCCTGCTGTACGAGACTCCCCGGGTGCCTGACAATTCCTTACTGGAGGCCACGAGCCAAAATCGGAGCCAGGCCTCCCGCGGGGAAGACGAGGATGGCAACTACGAGCCGCGTGAGCGAGTCAGGCGCATTCACGTCAAGCGATACAGCACCTACGATGACCGGCAGATAGGCCATTAGGGTCCCAGGGGGCCCACCCGGAGCCCCTCCTTCCGCGTGGGGTGGGGGAAGGGCACGTGGCTTTGGCACTGGAGTCCCCTCACGGGCCCGGATCTTCCAGGAGGGCAGCTTACATTTCAGCCACACTGCGATGTAGTTTGCAAAACGTGACTACCACCACCACCCCGATGCCAAGTTACAACGGGGCGCGAAAGGGCAACCTTGTGGGTTTGAAGCCCATCCCTTGGCTGTTTTGTGTGGAATTTCATGGGCTCCTTTTCTGCCTCAAGACTTCCTGAAGACCTCCGTGCTTTTGAAAACAAAAATCCAGATGCTGAGACCAAAGAATCACACTGAAACACTACATTGCGACTACACTACAGTTGAAACACTACAGTTTTCTAGCCCCTGTTCCGCTTTCCCAGAGAAGACCTGGGTAGCTGTGACTGTTTTTTTTCTCCTTTACCACAATGTGATTTAAAAACAATTTTTTGTTTTGCCATAACTTGGCAACTTCTGATGCCACCTCAGCTAGAATCCTTGGGGCTCAATTGTTGCTGGGAATAACTGGAAATCAACTTCATGCTGGAAAAAAACTTTCTGTTCTAGTTCCTGATTCTTACTGATGCGTTTGCGGGGAAATTTGAAGGGAAGGGATATACCTGGTGTGCATCTTGTATGGGTAGTCCTCTACTTACAGCCACAATTGAGCTCTTGGTTCTTGCTGAGCTTGGCTGTTTTCTTGCAGGCGTTTCATTACCCAAACTAGGTAACATCATCAATGCTGATCACTAGTTACCAGCACTGATGATGTTACCCAGTTTGATGAAGAATGTATTTATGACGACTATGGTCATGATTTATCACTTATCTCTTTTATGTACACTAAGAGCTTATGCACTAAGACAAATTCCTTGTGTGTCCAATCACACTTGGCGAATAAAGAATTATGTTCTATTTTCTATTCTATTCCATTTTATTTTCTATTCTATTCTCTATTTTCTATTTGATTTTCTATTTGATTTTATTTTCTATTCTATTCTATTCTCTATTCTATTTTATATTCTGTTCTATTTTATTTTCTATTCTATTCTATTCTCTATTTTCTATTCTGTTCTATTTTATTTTCTATTCAATTCTCTACTCAATTTTATATTCTATTCTATTTTATATTCTATTCTCTATTCTATTTTATATTCTATTCTATTTTCTGTTCTATTTTATTTTCTATATTCTATTCTATTATTTGGATAAGGAAACATCTGCAAGAAAACAACGAAGCTCAGAGAGCACCAAGGACCACCCCTCATGTTAACCCGAGCTAAAATATTCTACTTCATTTGATAACAATTGAGCTCAAAAATTTTATGCGGCTAAGCGAGACAATTGTTGAGTTATGCTCCATTTTACAAGCTTTCTTGCCACTGTTGTTGAGTCAATCCTTGATTAAGTTAACTGAAGTTAATCCTTCAGTTAGTAATACAGTTGTTATGTGAATCTGGCTTCCCCTGTTGGCTTTGCTTGTCAGAAGGGGGAATCACATGACCCCAGGAGATTGCAACCTCCATAAGTTCATGATCAAGAGTTGGAATTTTTTGATCACGTGACTGTGAGGATCCTACAGTGATCATAAGCGTGAAAAACACAAGTCCCTTTTTCCAGTGCCATAGTGACTTCGAACGGTCACTAAACGAATGGTTGTAAGTCGAGGACTACTTGTATTGCAGACAGCTTTGGATCTTGCAGATACTGGGTGTCCGGCTGGTGTTGGAAACTTTTAGCTTCGGGTGGAGGTGGGGATCGCTGAAAGGGAAGAAGAAGCAAAGCAAAAACAGGAGGACCCAGTTTCCTAGGTCTGTGGGCAGAGATGCTTGCTCATCCAACAATAGATAACATGGCCTGAATAAGCTGGAATATGATGATTCTTCCAGAACATTTTTTTACAGCAATCCTCCTTTTGGTTCCCAAGGCCTAGTTAATGGAGAACAATGGGTGGGAGGTCTAAAAATTGATTTCTCCAACCTGATGCCCATTGGATAATTGGGCCAACTCTTATTAGCTGTCTGTAGGATACTAGAAGTGGGGTGCTCAATGCTTTGACGCATTTCTGGAGACTACTCTCTCCCCTTAGTGCTGACCTCTATAAAAGTGCTGGTGTATTGTAAAGTTAAGGGGTTGGTGCATTGTGTCCCAACACGGGGTGGCTCAGTGGCTAAAACCCCGAGCTTGTCAATCAGAAAGGTTGGCAGTTTGCCGGTTCGAATCCCTAGCAACGCGTAATGGAGTGAGCTCCCGTTACTTGTCCC